AAAAATAAGGATTTCGGCAAGCAAAACGAGCAAGAGGAATCGCAGCACGTCATTCACATAATCATCAGTGGTGTCGATACCCCTCAGTGATCGGCGCTTAAACACACTAAAACATCAATTGTAAGGGAAAAGCAATCTCGGACTCAAGATTACGGAATGCCAAATAGCAATCACAGATGTCGGTTTCGACCTAGCCAGATAACCAGAAGATCGAATAAGATGATGATCAGAGGATCCCTCGATCCTTGATGATTCCGACGCCACCAAATCAACAATTGAGGAACTGGAGCAAATCACACTTATCGAACATTGGCCCGAACGAAAGGTATACCTGGGGACGGGGTTGAGCCCCGAACTCAGGAAAAAACTTGTTCGATTTCTTATCGATAACATTGATTTTTTTTCCTGGTCCCATTTAGATATAACAGGGATCCCACCGGACATAACGATGCATCGGTTAAGCTTGGACCCTAGGTTCAGACCGATGAAGCAAAAATGAAGACCCCAGTCCGAGGAAAAGCACGCATTCATAAAGGATGAGGTAACCAAATTTCTCAAGATAGGGTCCATTCGGGAGGTGAAATATCCCGAATGGTTAGCCAATGTAGTTGTAGTGCCTAAAAAAGGGAGCAAACTTAGAATGTGTGTGGACTATAAAGATTTGAACAAAGCATTCCCCATAGATTCCTTTCTGCTGCCATATATCGATCGCATAATCGATGCCATGGCCGAACACGAGATCCTCACTTTTTTTTATGTCTATTCCGGGTATAATCAAATCCAGATGAACTCGGAGGACCAGGAAAAGACTTCGTTTGTCACCAAATATGGAACATATTGCTATAATGTGATGCCCTACGGACTAAAAAATGCAGGGGCTACTTACCAACGCCTAGTAAATAAAATGTTCGAAGAACAAATAGGTAAATCATTGGAAGTTTATATTGATGACATGCTAGTCAAATTCCTGCGCGCAGAGGACCATTTAGCCCATTTGCAGGAAACATTCGATATTTTGAGGAAATACAACATGAAGCTCAAACCCAAAAAATGTGCATTCGGGGTCGGCTCGGGCAAGTTCCTCGGCTTCATGGTGTCAAATTGGGGAATCGAGATTAACCCCGAAAAAATCAAGGCCATCGAAGACATCGCCATCGTGGACAGCGTGAAAGCTATACAAAAGCTAACTGGACGGATTGTAGCCTTAGGCCGATTCATTTCGAGATCATCAGATCGAAGTCACAAGTTTTTCTCTCTACTCAAAAAGAAGAACGATTTCGCTTGGACACCGGAATGCCAACAAGAATTAGAGGAACTAAAACGATATCTATCGAGCCCCCCACTTCTTCACACTCCAAAAACAGACGAAAATCTTTGCTTGTACTTGGCAGTATCGGAAGTTGCCGTAAGCAGTGTCCTAGTTCGAGAAGAGCAAGGTACTCAATTTTCCGTTTATTATATAAGTCGGACCTTAGGAGAAGCAGAAACCAGGTATCCACACCTAGAAAAATTGGCGCTTGCACTGATAAGCGCCTCTAGAAAGTTAAGACCGTACTTTCAATGTCACCCCATATGCGTATTAACCACCTACCCACTTCGTAATATTTTGCACAAGCCCGAACTATCAGGCCGATTGGCCAAATGGGCCGTCGAACTCAGTGGGTATGATATCGAATATAAACCCCGTACGACCATCAAGTCTCAAATTTTAGCAGACTTCGTGGCCGATTTCACGCCAACCCTCGTACCCGAAGTCGAAAAAGAACTCCTGTTGAAATCGGGTACATCATCGGGGGTATGGACCCTTTTTATGGACGGAGCCTCGAACGTAAAAGGGTCCGGACTAGGCATAGTTTTGAAATCTCCCATGGGTAACACTATTAGGAAATCTATTAAAACTATCAGGTTGACTAACAACGAGGTCGAGTATGAAGCCATGATTGCAGGTCTCGAGCTAGATAGAAACTTGGGAGCAGAAGTCATCGAAGCTAATTATGACTCTTTACTGGTGGTGAGTCAAGTAAACAAAACCTTCGAAGTATGAGAAGGTAGAATGCAAAGGTATTTAGACAAACTGCTTGTCACTTTGCACCATTTCAAACAATGGACTATACAACATGTTCCACGAGAACGGAATAATGAGGTCGATGCGCTTGCAAATTTGGGATCGTCGGTCGAGGTAGATGACTTGAGCTCGGGGACTGTCGTTCAGCTTTCGGGATCTGTAATCAAAGACGGTCACGCAGAGATAAATTCGACAAGCTTAACCTGGGATTGGAGAAATAAGTATATTGAATACTTAAAGAGCGGAAAACTCCCATCGGACCCTAAAGATTCCAGGGCCCTACGGACTAGAGCAGCTCGATTCACGTTGGCTTCCGATAGAACGCTATATCGAAGGACATTCGATGGGCCATTAGTAGTATGCTTGGGCCCAGGAGGTACCGATTACATCCTACGGGAAGTGCACGAGGGCACTTGTGGGAATCACTCCGGTGCCGATACATTAGTTCGAAAAATAATCAAAGCAGGGTATTATTGGATCACTATGGACAAAGATGCGAAGGAATTTGTTCGAAAATGCGGCAAATGTCAAAGGTTTGCGCCAATGATCCATCAACCCGGAGAACAACTTCACTCAGTCCTATCCCCATGGCCGTTCATGAAATGGGGAATGGATATCGTTGGCCCTCTGCCATCGACCCCAGGTAAAGCTAAATTCATTTTATTTATGGCTGACTATTTTTCTAAATGGGTTGAAGCGCAGGCGTTCGAGAAAATAAGAGAGAAAGAAGTTCTAGACTTTATTTAGGATCACATCGTATGCCGATTTGGGATACCCGCTGAAATAGTATGAGACAATGGGAAACAATTCGTTGGCAGCAAAGTAACAAAATTCTTCGAAGATCACAAAATGAGAAGGATACTATCAACGCCATGACATCCGAGTGGGAACGGACATGCCGAATCAACGAACAAAACTATCATTCAAAACCTAAAGAAGAGGTTGAACGATGCTAAAGGAAAATGGAGGGAAATCCTACCCGAAGTCCTTTGGGCATATCGGACGACATCGAAATCCAGTACGGGGGCGACCCCATTCTACTTAGTATATGGGTCCGAAGCATTGATACCAGTCGAAGTCGGTGAACCCAGTACCAGATTTCGATTCACGATGGAAGAATCAAATAACGAGGCTATGAATACCAGCCTCGAATTATCGGACCGAAGACGAGAAGCTGCTCTCGTCCAATTGGCCGCTCAAAAGCAGCAAATCAAAAGATATTATAATCAAAGAACCAAGCTCCGCCATTTCAAACCCGGGGACTTAGTATTAAGAAAAGTCACCATCAATACCCGAAATCCGAACGAAGGAAAACTAGGACCAAATTGGGAAGGACCATATGAGGTGCTCGAGAACGTCGGAAAGGGATCGTACATGCTCGGCATTATAAAACGTCAAACAGTTATCAAGCAGTTGGAATGTATCACATCTAAAACGGTTTTACTGCTAAGGTACGACCTTTCCATATTCATTTACATTTCGAAACTTACCCCTGCAGGAGTCTGAACAAGAGCTAAGATGGATCTTCCGCTTGAAAGCACGCGTTGTACTCTTTTTCCCTTAGACCGGTTTTATCCCAAATGAGTTTTCCGGCAAGGTTTTTAATGAGGCAACCATTGATCGTGCTGCACTTACAACAATATTCGAGGCCTCTTTACAATCGACCTCGAATACTGGGAGGGCAGTAGGCGCTCAAATACATCGAGTTCAGATGCAAGAAAATTATTTCGCAACAACAGGGTTCCCATAAGAATAATTGGTAGAGCCAAATGGTCGAAACGAACCATGCTCATGTAGGTTGGCCCGAACCCAGGCGCAAAACGTGAACACATGTATAATGACTTGCAAAGAAAGTACTCCCTCTTTACCAACGTCCAAGAAAATTCCTCTATTTTTGAGATTTATTGCACAATCAGAATCAAGACAAATTCGACGACTAATAAGCCTACGGGCTACTTTGATTTCGAGTTCGATCAAGTACTCACTCGACCATTACGCCTACGAGCTACGTTACTTCGAGTTCGAAACATTCACTCGACTAATAAGCCCACAGGCTACTTTGATTTCGAGTTCGAGCAAGCACTCACTCGATCATTACGCCTACGGGCTACATTACTTCGAGTTCGAAACATTCACTCGACTAATAAGCCTACGGGCTACGTTGATTTCGAGTTCGAGCAAGAACTAACTCGACCATTACGCCTACGGGCTATATTACTTTAAACTAGAAACGTTCGCTCAAACATTACGCCTAAGGGCTATATTACGTCGAGTTCGAACCATTCACTTGACGGCTAATAAGCCTATAAGCTCCTTTCATTTTAAGATTGAGTGAGCACTCACTCGACCATCACGCCTAAGAGCTATATTTCTTCAAGTTCGAATCATTGACTCAACTAGCAAGCCTAAGGGCTACATCACTTCAAGTATGAAAAAACAATTGATCGATCATAGAGACTACGAAGTCAAAATTTGATTAAAGTCTTCACAAAAACAAGTCGACCAAGTTGTATATATACAAAATTGTCTACATGATTGATTGGCGTGATATATACAGAATTGTCTACATGATATACAAAAAATTAATTAAGAACTAAGATTCCTGGTCATCCTCACGGGCGTTCGCTTCTCTGTCGGGCTCTTCACCGTCCTCGGATCCACTCTTGCTACCGTCATCATCATCATCATCAGAAGGCAAGGCTTCAGCTTCATCTTCGAGCTCTTTATCCTTTTTTATCTCTTCGGTAAGCTCGAAACCTCGAGCGTGTATCTCTTCGAGGGTCTCCCTCCAAGACCTACATTTAGCAAGTTCGGCAACCCAATGAGCTCGAGCGTTGGTAGTATCCGCCGCCTCCCGTGCCTCCATCTGAGCAGCCTCGGCATCGGCCCGATACACAGCAATGGACTTATCCGCCATGACTTTCGACGACTCAACCTACGCCTTGGTCTCAGCAAGACGTGTTTCAAGCTCCTCGATCCCCTTAGCCTGAGCCGACCCCTTTTGCTTGACGCTTCGAAGCTGAACATCGGCCGATAGTAATTTGGTCAAAATGGTTTCCTTTTCCGCAGCCAAGCGGTCGATAGTCTCTTTCCATCGATTACATTTGGCTTTGATTTGATTGACTTCTTCCCGAAGTAACCCGATCTTTTCAACCTTTTGCTGCAGCTGAGATAACGAAGGGTTAACTTCCGCAGTTGAGTCAGACCTATACTTTAATAGAACGAGGCTCACCTGCTTATCGAGTTCGGCCCCTTCCGCTTGGAGGTCCTTTATAGCCTCGTCCTTTTGGCTGCAAAGAAGCCGCATGATGTCTCTCTCACCCGAGACCTTCTGAAGCTCGGCATCACACTGACTGAGATTGACTCGAAACCTACTAATGGCCTGCACAGTAGAAAAAAAAACACAAGTTAAGTATGGAAAAGAACAAAGAAACCAAGTGTAGAAAAATCATTACCCGGGTAATAAAACGTTGGGCCTCTTCTAGCAGAAGAGAAGTGTCACCAATATCAGAAGCATCATCGACTCCAGTGAAGCAATCCCGAAAAGGGTCCCCTACACTAGAGCCTCCGCCCATATCGAGGGTCTTCAATTCTCGAGCTTCCTTTAATGCCTCCTCGGAAAAGGTTGGAAGAGAAGGCGAATGACCCACTGTTATAACCCCGAGCAAATCACTCGGGGTGCTCCGATTGAGACTCGGGATTTCAGGACCGACCCCGACCGATACAGCCGCCATCGGCTCAGGAGCTCTAGCAACCTCGACAGCTTTCACAGATCAGATCACCAAAGCCGAGGCATTATTTTCTTCTTCTTCTTATTCTTCTTCTTCTCTTAGTCGTTGGACCGAGTCAATCAGAAGGGAAATTGCCTTCCTCCTCACCCTCCGAGTTTTGGGCTTGGGGTCCTCTGACCGAGAGGCAGCTCTTCGCTTCTTATCTTTCCTCGATTTCAGGACTAGGGACTTGTTTTCTTCTTTCACCGCTCGAAGGCCTCAAAGCGGCATCCTTGGTTACACCTGCATGAAATGAAATCAATAACAAATAGAACACAAAGAATACTTCGAAGGAAATAAGAATCAAAACCTTACCATGGTTCTTGACCTCCCATCTACCTTTAGCCAAATCACGCCAAGCGCGTTCGGCATAAGAGAAAGTCGAAGCTAACTTCCGAACCCAGTCCTCGAGGTCAGGTACCGCTTGTGGCATCCAAGGGGCAGCTGAATATCGGAGAAAGACATCAGAAAAAATCGGGAAAAGACACGAAAAACAAATAAGAAACACTTACGATCGAAATTCCATTTCTCGGGGAACGACATCTTCTTTTTCGGAATAAGGTCACGAGTCCTCACCCGAATATAATGACCCATCCAACCCCGATCCTTGTCTTCGTCGATGCTCGACATCAAAGCCTTCGATGCCCGACGGTAAAGTCTGCGAAAGATTTGAGGCCGATACAATCGTATGAGGTGATTCAGAGAAAATTCTAGCCCCCCGACTTTGATATAGAAGAAGCGAAGTAAGATCACTATACGCCATAAAGAGGGATGAATTTGACCGAGGGTGACCTGATATCTTTTGCAGAAATTAATGATCACCGGGTCGACGGGTCCCAACGTGAAGGGATAAGTATAAATACTTAAAAACCCCTCCACATGAGTGATGGCGTTCTCTTCGGGAGATGGGATCTGCAACACAACCTCGGGACCCCAGTTGCAGTCTTTTCTGACGGCCTCGAGATGACCCTCTGTTATAGAGCACATGTACATCGACACGTGCTCGCATCGACCCAGAACAGATGAAGGATTCTTAACCTTAAAATCGATCTTCAGAGTGCACGGGCCGGGAAAAGTAGTCATAGGTGGACGGCTCCGCCGGCGCCTTGTCGCCGGACGTCCGTGAAGAAGAAGCTTTCTCCTTCTGAGGTACAGTTTTCGAAGTTTTGGTCATTGATATGAGAAGAAGAAAGACAAAGGAAAATGAAAAATTGACAACACCAAAACTCTGGTATAGATAGCTCTAGGGTAACATAACAGAGGGAAAAGATAAGAGAATTTGGAAGAAGCGAAGGCGTAAAAGTGGTAAAAGTTAGATGGAAGGGTTATTTATAGGCTCGCATCACGCTGATTCAATATCAGAAATGGCCGACCATCATCTGACAAGCATTAAATACCTTGAAAGACTAAATCGATGGGACAGCTATCGCATACGTCATAACCGGTCCCTGGTAAAACGTCATCTTGTTGTCCGATTGAATCGTCGAAGATCATGTCGATTCTCACCATATTCTTTATGAGAATCGAGGGGACTATCTGTATACGGTCAAAATAGATTTCGATTTTCCTACGTTCGATCGAGATCGAGTGGCAAGAAACCGGAGTAGGATTTTGGCAATAAGCTCCGAAGACGGTATAAACGAGCCTCAAGTCCGAAGGCTGCTCGAGGAGTCGGCTCGATAATCTTATCGAGCCCGAGGTATTGCTTCGAGGTTGGAAGTGCATCACGCCCACCCCGAAGGTCGAACTCAAGCCAAGACCGAAGGGCCGACCCAGTGACGGGTTCAAGCCAGTATCGAGTTTGAGCCAGTATCGAGCTCACAGACAAGAGCCGTTACAACCGGACCAAGAGAGAGAATCTTAGCAGGAATCGAGAAAGAGACAAATCATCATGGGTTCTCCACTATATGCTTTATTTTATTATTTTTGTTATAAATAATGTAATGACCCTCTATTATAAAAGGGGATCCTTGTAAACACTGCACACATTGGATAGATTAAAAAACAATAGACCCTTTCTTACAGACAAAGATTTTCCCTTGTGCCCGACTTATTTCGTCCTATCCATTTTTTCTGTTCATCATTCTCATTCCCATAGTCAAAATACTTGTATTGTTATCTTTGTATCAAAGGATATTACGTATCCTTAGAACCATACATATATTTGGCATTATCCGATTTTTCGGGTAAACAATTGGTGCTAATATAAATGATATATATTATGTATACTGCACGTATGTAAATAGATACTTCAAATGTAAAACATATATTGATGACATATACGTATATAATATAAATATACCCTATCATTTTAAGGAGAAGGCGATATTGGAGTTGAAATGCAGATACGTATAACTATAGCTTGAAAAGGCAGCAAAGGAGAAGGAGATTGTTTAGGAAATATTTGTCTACATTTGATATTGATTTCCTTTATGTTACCCTAAATAAGGATACTCCGTTATTTTTAGGTGTTTGTTTTAATTTCATACTTTTAGAATCAGTTTCCTAATTAATAGGAAATCTACCGTATTTGAGGGTTAACTTTTATACATTTACTATGGTTATGTTGCAGAACATGTTATTTAATTAATAGTTGTAGATTTTGGATTTTTTTTTTATTTCATCAGTAATTATGAAAATTTCCCTATCTTTTAAGATCACCAAGAAAGATGAAAAGATGAAGAAGTAGGTAAAAATAAAAGAACAAGAGTGCTATTGCGTTGTTTTCAATGTATAATGGGTTTTTACAAATGCATGAGCCAACTTATATCCAAGTTGGACTTGGGCTGGAGTACTAAGGTGTAGCCCATCTGGCTCCAAAGGTAGGCCCAAAGCATCTACAGTAATTACATTGGGAAGGTTAATTCCAAGCTGGGCTTCTCTCACCCCCTCAATAAAGCGTCCTTGTCCAGAAGCTAGGGCTACCTATTCAATTATAGCAAAAATCAATAAATACACATAAATAGGCAAATTTATGATAATATTAAATTTTGATAGAAAATTAACAATGAAACGGATAAATATTTTACATGAATATTTCACTCTTCACGATCACTAGCTCTTGAATATACATTGGATGCTTAATGTAATCACTTAAAAGAAAGAAGATATCACTGTAATTGTAAGGCTAATGTTAAATTAATATTCTCTCTTTTAAATATATATAGGAATTTGAAATTTTACGGCAATCATATGTTTGTGTGGAAGAAAATTATTAAAATTGGCCAAGTTTTCGTTTAGACTAATTCTGGTAAATGTCTTCTCAAGAAATTATTTCCTGGTTTACAAATAAAGGAAAAAGATTTATTGCACAACTAACGCTTCTTTATGATTTTCTCTAGTCTATTTGTTTTTTTTTAAAAAAAAATCAGCTCCACTTTACCGACTCACAACTATCACCTAATACCACAATTAATCATCATAATTATAGCCATCAACCTTTGTTTAAGTTGAAAGATAACGACATAACGTGGATATTAATTGTGTTTCATATAATATTTTTTTCCACCAAATGTTACATTTTACAGAACAGATTCTACGTCGTACGTGGTCCATTTGTAGATGTTAACATGTCAATTTGAGGAAACTAAGATAATTACATTTTAAAAAACTAATCAAATTTCTGAAATTAGTCAAAATATATACTCCTACTAAAGTTGTCTTGCTCATTGTGATACAACATGATTTTGGCAGTTAAAATTTTTTCAATTTCCATTAACGGTAGATCATTAATTTTTTTAAGATTCAAATCATCATGTGAAAGCAAAAAGGTTATTATATTAATAAATATCATTAAGTGAACAAGGAAAACAATTTTTTACCTGAAAAATAGGAAGCAATGGAGAGTTCAAATCACTACGCAAGTCCTGACAAAGTTTCTCCAATTTGCTCTTGTAAGACTTTGCTTCTTCCCAAGTTAATGTATCTCTTTCCCCTTGATACCAAAGAATTGCTCTAATTGTTCCACCACCATACACGGCTATTCTCGCTCTTTTAATCATTTCATTGTATAGACTTCACAAAAATATCACTAGTTAGTAAGTTTCAAATGAACCCGATCTTATTATATGTATTTCCTAATAACGTAACATTTTTTCCCCTCTTATATCTATACATGATTCAATTGAACCAGCAAAACTCGCTCTAGAATTACATCTGATTGTATTCAAATATATGTTAAAGCAAGATAAGACGTGTACCTGGAACCCTGTGACCATTTATCGATGCTCGTCCCTCCAGCGGCGCAAGGGACTAACCCTATGATCCCGAATTCAGGGTCTTTCTCCAAGATATCATTGGCAAACACCATTGTTGGTCCTATACCACAAGTCTTGTTCAGGTCAATGTCGTAATGTAGAGGCTCTTGGGCTACTTCCCATATTGAGTTTCCATTTAGCCGGAGGATTGCCGGATTCCGGCGACATTCCGGTGGTACATAGCCATCCCAAACTTTCTCAACGACCCCTCCTCGTCCAGCCATGTTACTTTGTCCGGCTAGTATGAATATTTGTTTTTTGTGCTTAGTTTCGGATATTGTACAATTCATTACCCATAGGATATATGCTAAAAGCACGAAAAGTATTAAGTAAAAAGTTAGTCTCTCATATCTATCTTTTGATTGCATCATTTAATTATATTGATGATGAATACAAGAATCAAAGAATAATCTTTTAATTAAGAAAAGAAAAAATGTTTTTATTTTGGGAACTTATTAAAAATGGGAAAGGGAAAGGAGGCGGCTTTTGACTGGTATTATATAGTACTGGATTTATAAGTATTTGCTTTAGTTGCACAGGAGGCCAAAGAAGTACAGAATTTTAATTCAATCTCCAATAAAGGAATTGGAAAGCAGTCATAAAGCGTCGTGGCTTCTAATGTCAATTGACTTTCCAATTGTAGAAACAAACACTAAAAGGAAAAAGATTAAAAATTTTCATCATAGTGAATTCTTGTCCTAAAAATACATTCCTGTTATTGATTCTTGTTACGGAGCAGGAAAATATTTTAATAAATAAAATTAGTGTGATTTATAAGAGAATTTAGTTATGCCCTTTGAAAAATTAAATTCACATGAGAACTAATTTTAATGTGTGTGAAACAGATAAGAATGATGGTATAACCATATTTGATAATACTCCTATTTTGCATCTGTTTTAATTTACCTTTCGCGTTAGGTAATTTTATGTTTTACTAATTTTGGTTCTCTCTAGTATAGGAAATATTTAAACGTTTCAGGGTATTTCCGTCTTCTTAGTAGTATCTTATTAACACTAGTATATGATAGAGCCGTAGAGATATATAGGAAATTAATGTCGTTGAAACCTTAGAAAAACAAGTTATTTGTAATTAGTTAATTAATATTCATAAAATGAAAAAGGTATTGGGTGCATTGGTAGAGAGCTCGGGCAAAGAGGTGCAAGAAGTATTATGTCAAAAGATTGATTCCACCATTTGAAACAATCTTATTATTGTGTAGGGGTAAAATTGGGGGCAAATTTTTTTCCGATTCCCCGATGAAGGAACAAAAGGGAAGCACGGCTCAGAGTGATATGATCGAGGCCTAGGAATCCCTCGTATTAAAACTCGGAAAGAATGAACGATGTATCTGAGATCAGACATGGTGAAATGACAGAACCGGGCCAAGTATAGCTTCCTGACCTCGGGGGACATAGTGAACAGTTATGCATGGCGAGCAACGGGCCGTAATATTCGCCCTCAACCAGATATTACGATGCGAATCCCGTTCAGTATCAACTTTAGATCAACATTTACCGGAAAAAGAAGATCTTTACCTTTTTTAGACTTGTACTAAGACTGAAATTCTCCTACTATATAAAGGGAAAAGTTTTTTTATTCTTACACATGGTGACACGCAAATTAAAGCAATAAAAGTAAGGCATTATTCATTTATTTTTTTCTTCACTCGCGACCGAGCTTGTATCGATGGTCCAATCGAGGATGGATTCCACTGTTCAATCTAAGATTAGGCTTGGTCATTACATTGCGATTGATGTTATCATTTATTTTTATCTTTAACTCATTTACCTATTATTTTTATTATTCATATAAAATTAAATCATGTATCTTTTAAACCGTGTACAAATTTAATTGTTACTCATTTTTGGGGTAAACAGTTTGGCGCCCACCGTGGGGCTAAGGATAATAGTGGTGATTTGATACGAATCTCCATAACACACCCTATTTTATGCTTGTTCTTTGAAATTTTGATTCCAGGCTAGCCTAAGGATGTCAAACTCTCAGTCTGCTCTCTTGAACGTTGACCCTGAGTGAGGCCATCACGACGAGAACAATAACGCGATGCCTAGTAATGATGTGCCTCCTGTTGATCCCAATGGTGTCTCAGTCGCCGATCCGGTCGATGCTAACTCGCATGTGGCCATCAACATCAATTTACTAACTGATCTCGAAAATAGTGTCTATGGGGGACTCCGACCGGGGACCCGAGAAGCACCCGAGGGTGAAGGTGATGGGGTAAGCCTACGGTTGATCTTCGAAATGTTGCAGGCTCAACAAACAACAATAGCACAGTTGCAGAACCAAAGCCACGCCCCTAACAGGGTCTAACCCTGTCGTGATGGCGCCTATCGTGAAATTAGGCTAGCCGACTCATTTTTCCAAAATAAACCGATATTTTTATTTCAAAGATAATCTCATGGCCATTTAACATAAAAATCTTTGTAATGGAGTTTAAATCAAAATAAAAAAAGCCCGACATCGGGGTGTCACTAGTCATGAGCATCTACTACAACTTGTCTGGCAATATCGAGACTAACATAGTCTGGAAAATAGCCTAATACAACTAAAGGAAGATAAGAGGGAGAAGAGCAGGGCTGCGATCGCCAGACAGCTACCTTGCTATCCCCGAGAAAATCTGCAACGGGAATAGTCAACAGCCACTACCATGTCCAGCTACACCTGCAGGGAGTAACGTGAGTACGCCAACTTAGTAAGTAACAACAGTAAATAAAGACTGAGCAGTAGTGACGAGCAATAAAGCATATAAAGTTCATATCATGAAATCTCGGTAAAATACAACATGCTTTAAAAATCAGTGTTTGAATCAAATCATCTCGTTTAAACCTAGTTCCAGTAAAAATCATTTAAAGATATTTTTCAAAAGTTTTTCAAACAAAGGCTCAATGCAAATGTGAGCAAAAATGATGAAATTATAATCAGCCTCACATCACTCGTATACAGCCCCTCGGGCAAACCTCACAATCACTCATGCCTCTCGGGCATACCTCACAATCACTCATGCCTCTCGGGCATATCTCACAATCACTCATACCTTCCAGCCACTCAACACTCGGTACTCACACTCAGTAGGTATCTGGACTCACTGGGGGTGTGTACAAACTCCGGAGGGGCTCCTTCAGCTGAAGCGCTATATCAAGCCAAATCATGGCATAAATCACTCAGGCCCTCGGCCTATATCAAACATGCTGCGGCGTGGAGCCCGATCCCATAAATATCCTCACAAATCAAGCCCTCGGCCTCACTCAGTCATAAACATCTCAAGCCACTCGGACTCTCAGTAAAAATAGGATACTCAACCCAAAACAACATTTATATGCATCAAAACAGAGTAATAAAATCGAGTTATGTAGTAAACAGGTATAACCATGACCGAGTATAGATTTTCAATCAAAAAAAATAAAACAGTGAGAGGATAGTAAGAAAAAGGTCCCTAAGGATCCAAACAGCACTGGCACAAGACCCAAACATGGCATTCCGCCCAATTTACAAAAACTCATTTCTAAAACTCATAAATATCATATAGTTTCAACAAAATATGTAACTTTACAGTTGCTACGGGACGAACCGAGTCACAATCCCCACGGGTGCACGCCCACACGCCCGTCACCTAGCATGTACATCACCTCAAAATAGTAAATGATACGAAATCCAGGGTTTCATACCCTCAGGACTAGATTTACAATCGTAAATTACCTCAAACCGGTCAAATCTCTACCCCGCAATGCTCTTGCCTCTCGACTCGGCCTCCAAATACTCCGAATCTATTCACAATCAGTACAATATCATCAATTTATGCTAAAGGAATAAATTCCACAAGAAAAACTATCAAGTTAGCCTAAAATCCCGAAATCGACTCAAACCCGGCCCCCGGGCCCACGTCTCAAAATCCAACAAAATTTATAAAACTAGAAAGCCCATTCACTCATGAGTCCATACATACAAAATTTATCAAAATCCGACCTCATTTGGTCCCTCAAATCCTTAAATCAAACTCTCCAAAATCCCAAGCCCTAACGCCTCATTTTCACTAATTACATGATTAAACAACGAGAAATCACCATATATACGAGTATTAGGGCTCATGCAACTTACCTCACTGATAGCCCTTGAATCACCCTTTAAAGATCACTCCAAAAGCTCCAAAACCCGACTTGAAAATGGTGGAAATGAGCCAAAATTCGCGAAGTGTGCTATTTATGGTTTCTGCCCAGGCCTCCCGCACCTGCGGACAAATTATCGCTTCTGCGCCACCGCACCTGCAAAAAATTCATCGCAGGTGCGGAACTCACTTAGGATCCCAGATTCCGCACCTGTGGACAAACCTCGCACCTGCGGATCGCGCACCTGCGCACTCACACTCCTCTTCTGCGAAGTCTGTCAAAATCCCCTTCTCCGCATCTGCGCCCCAAGTCTCACACATGCGGGCTCGCAGATGCGACCACTATCTCGCACCTACGCATCTTTCCTAGCCCAGCACTTCCCGCACCTGCGAACTCCTCATGCACACCAGTGACCTTGCACCTGCGGTTCTCCCCTCCGCAGGTGCGGAAATATTAGTAGCAACAACTTCAACTGCATTTTCCAACTTCAAACAATTCGTTAACCACACGGAATCACCCCGAGGCCCTCGAGACCTCAACTAAAAATACCAACAAGTCATATATCAACATACAAACTTAGTCGAACCGTCGAATCACTCAAAACAACATGAAACCACCAAATTACCCTCGGATTCAAGCCTAAGAACTTCTAAACTTTCAAATTCGACAACCGATGCCGAAACCAACCAAACCACTTCCGAATGACCTCAAATTTTGTACACACGTCACAAATGACTACGAACCTACTCTAACTTTCGGAGTTCTATTCCGACCCCGATACCAAATTTTCCACTGCCGACCAAAATCGCCAAATTTCCAACTTTCGCCAATTCAAGCCTAATTCTACTACGGACCTCCAAATCATATTCCGGATGCACTCCTAAGTCCAAAATCACATAACGGAGACAACAGAACCATTAAAATTCAAATTCGAGATTGTTTACACATAGGTCAACACCTGTTGACTTTTCCAACTTAAACTTCTAAATAGGAGACTAAGTGTCTCAATCCACTCCGAAACCACTCCGGACCCGAACCAACTACCCTGGTATAACATAATATAGCTGAACAACATATAAGGAAGCAGAAATAGGGGAAACGG